CCATACAAATCTCTATAAATTTGGGTAAGAAATTTCTCCGCATATCTCGCATAAGAAAAATTGCTGTGACCAGACTTTTGGCGAGAGTCTTTGCACATTTACCTTCTTTCATTTCCCAGATTCTGGACTTTATCTATTGACCGGTTTCGATTTTTATTTTGATCTATTTTGAATTGCGTGACACTGAAAACCAGCAAGTGCAACAACAAGTTAAAAAGCCTATGATTATCAATACAAAATGACAATATAACAAAATATAATGATATAAAAAGCCTAGTAAATATGTGCAATGAGTGTCTGCAGTAGGCAAACTCGATTGTGATGGAACTTACCAATTTCTCATTTACTCTCGTAAAGGACTAACTAGTCCCACAAGAGGACACAAGAGCTAACATGTACTCACTAGAGCTGTATTATTAAATAGCTAGTTATAGGCAAAAACAATGTCGGCTTGTGTGGTGTTGCCGTCTTATATAGTGCGGCCTAGCCTGGGGTTATGAATTGATATAAATTCACTTGTCTAAATGAACTGAACAATAACTGCAAGGACACTATTAACCGAGTCACATGTTCATTTTTGTCCGTAAATTTTATCCTTGGTTGTCTGAAGAACAGCCATAGAACCATCAATATGTTCAATGGTGTATGTCCAGTCTTCAAAGTCGTCAATCTGCAATGATTCATTCAAATCTTCTTCAAGCATCCTTGCAGGAGAAGTCGACCCAACATCATCCCCAAGTTTAACTCGCGCTCGATTGTATATTTGTTCAGCATGAGCGTGTAGCTCAGTAGGAACGTTAAACTTACGAGCAAGCTCGTAACCGAGGTTCAAGTCTTTGCAGTGAAGTTCTATGGTAAAATCTGGATCGTATGTGCCATTGAATACCAGCGGGGCTTCAGTTTCCCAGGTATACGTGTTTCCAGCGCTGAATCTTACAGCTTCAAAAAGGGATTTTAAATCCACACCGCCCCTCTTTCCCAGCAGCAAGGCCTCTCCCATGGTGATAACATTTACAGCGGCTATCATGTTAGAAACCACCTTGGCAACCGTGGCAGCGCCTATTGTACCCATGTAGAGCACCTTTTTGCCACTTTGCTCAAGGATTGGGAGGCAGTCCTGAAAGAGCTGCTTGTCTCCGCCTACCAGTACGGTCATTTTACCTTGCTTGAGAAGTGCCATTCCTCCCGTGACGGGCGCCTCAAGAACTCCAATGCCCTTTTCACCTTAAAAGAGTAGGAAAACAAAATATGACCTGTAAGGAACATCGAAAGAGCTTGACGAAAGAACGCGAGTGCTTAATAAAGACATAGACACTGTTGATCATGTGTTTGCAGTGGCGGATCTAGGGAAGCGGCCCGGGGGGGCCGCCCGCCCCCCCCTCTCCTTATTTTGGGTGAAAAAAGAAGAAATGACTGGAGGAAGAAAAGCCGGCAGGGCTAGTAAAACACCCCCCCTCCCCGCCGCCTCCACTTAGCTCAAAGTCTGGATCCGCTACTGGTTTGATCCTGCTTTGACTATGAATACGCTTTCCAACCACATTTGGGGAAGGGAAGGTAGCATAGTGTAGGGAGGAGGCACCATTAGTGGTCGAACGTGATATGTGTTCCTTGTTAGTTTTGTCAGGCATCAAGACTGTGCAGGGCTCCTTGGACTGCTTTCTATGGAAAATTAAGTTCAGATTTATCACACTATCTACAAATGGTCTACAAATTATTAACTTGTCTTGAAACCTGAGTGTCCACAATCATGGTTCACTGACTGCAGAGAAATCTCTAGCGATTCACTAAGGGACCCAAAAGGCAGCCCACCTGCCACAATGTTCCGATGTTTTGAATAAGAGCTTTCGTTACAATAATGCGATTTTTTGGGACAGTCCAACTGTTAAACTGAGGAAAGCACATACTCTAACGAGTGGTTTCCTTAACTCTAATATGCACAGCATTCATGGTGAACAGGCATATTTAAAATTTAATTGTACGGTAGAAATACTTGTTCCCATTTCTGAATTTAGATACCTGCTTTCTCTGCAAGCTCAAGAGTCTGCTGATAATCTGTGGTACTATGGTCAATCCACACACCCCCTGAACGTAATCCCGCTAAAACACCATCCTCGCCTGTCAGAACTTGTTTAACGTGAGGTGGGGCAGGTAACGCAGTCATAACCACATCACACATTGTGGCCAATTCCCTTGGCATATTGGGGCGTGGTATGACTCCAGGGAGATCACGGCCTACATCTGGATTTTTATCAAGTAGGGCGGATACTGTGAACCCTGACTTGAGAAGATTTTTAGCAACTGTTGATCCAACATTTCCCAGGCCAATGATTCCTATTTTCTGAGCTGTTTTAGTGGAATACCTCGTGTGCTGGTTGCCATTTTAACTTAGAAGATAACGCAAGGCTGTTCTCCCGATCATGTTCTTGTGCCTGTAAATGAAAGTCAACGTAAATGAAAAACAAACAAAATGTTATAAAAGATGTTAACCTCTTACTAGCCTAGCGCAAGGGCCGTGCTGGGAAATATTGGCCCAAGATCGTAGCAGTGCGCTCGGTCCATACAAAAACAGCCGAGGGCCAATATTCCCCAGTGCGTCTCGAGCAAGCTAGGTTAGTAAGTAGTTTATTAAATGGAATTAAAATTTGAAGCTGCCCGCTTTTCGAAAACAAAACAAAAAATACACGGCTTATGACCGTGACTACGCGCCACTATTCGAGTATCAAGCCTCCATATCTAAATGGAAAACGAGAGAGACAAAAAAGCAACAACAACAACAATTATGATGAAGAAGCGAACTTTTTTCCGAGTGTGAAGCCCGAGGAAAACTTCAAGTTTTTGACTTATGTAGAAACAATACAACAACCTATAGTGCTCAAGGTCTACCAACAACAACGCTTCATAGTTTACTTACCAATTGATTATTTCTCGGCAATGGTACAGGCTGTGTGGTACGTGTGGTACGTGCGTACGTGCATCTCCATTAAAGTGCACCTAACCCCAAAA